GAAACAAATTACCGTATGAGACATAAACATAAAGGTGTGGCTAGATCATCATCAGTATCTATACAAAGTGTTTCAAGATTCGATACATGTTTTGAAAGATTATCTAAACACAGATCACTTTCTAAGAATTCATCCTTTTCTCCCTAATGGTTTTTTTAAAATTACAATTGCAATTAGAATATTATTTCTCAAAAAAAAAAAATAAAAAAAAAAATTTTTTTTTTCATAAGTACCCAGATAACCAATGTTGGAATTCCTATAAACCCGACTTGCTTTATTCCTCTCTTTTCCTGTTCGTTGTAAAATCCCAACATTGCATTACTACGGTAATAATTCATTCCCCCTTTAATACTAGCATAATTTTCCATACAAGCTGCTGCTTTAAACATTTCGATATCTTCGGCTGACACGTTATTCATGGACTTAAAAAATTCATCATAGGCCGAAACATCTTTAAGCACAAACAATCTTTCAGGCAAATATGGTATCTTGAATCTAAATATATAATTACTCATACAAAATTGTCTAATACACGGTGTTAAGATTGCCCATGAATTTCTTAATGTTTGTCTAGGTTGATTGATCAATGTTTTTAAATTGTTGTAATGAAATACTTGTTTAAATCTTTCTTTAGCATTATTCTGCCACACCAGTGTATTAGGTCCATTCAATATTATCAGCCTATCAATATATCCTGATTTATCAGAATATTGATCCCATTCCCAACTTTGTGCTGCTGCTTGCCATGCCAATGCCGCACCCCTATTTTTTTATATAAAAATAATTTATTATTATTATATTATAATTTATGTTATTATAACTGATAAATTATTGACCAAAAGTTTTAAAGGTCTAATATCTGTAACTTCTGGGCAACCTTCAATAAAAATTTTCATTAAGTTGCAACAATGAAGACCAATGAATAGAATTGATACATTTGTAATCTTGTTAACAGAAATATCCAATACTATTATTTAAAGATTAATTAAAAAATTAAAAAATTTTTTTAAAAATTTTTAAAAAAAAAAAAGGAAAAAATTGCATACTGTTTACCTTTTAATGTTGTTCCTGCTGATCCAGTAACCAACGTTTTAATAAATGCATCAGTTAAATTACTACCTCTAGCATCTAATTCTTCAACTAGTTTTAAACGTTCAAATGTTCCGGTTTGGAATTTACTTGCATCGTACAAAATGACTTTTTTCCAAAATATAGGTGAATAAATAAAAGCATTCCAAACTTTAGAAACTCTGGCAATTTTAATTTTTATGCTTTGTTCAAGACTTTCAAATACTAAGGCAGTTAACTCATTTGGAAGTGTTGGAATTGGTCTGTCATCATTATACATTACAACACAATCGTTGTGATTTTCTACATTCATTTAAAATTGATTAAAAATAATATCCTTATAATTTATTTGTATCTCATGTTGATCATTGTTAACATTGAATTTTTACAAAAAAAATTTTTAGAAGGATCGAACTACACATCATACATACTACACTGGAACGGCTTTGACAGTTTATGATGTTGAAATGAATTCACTTGTTATCAATGACATAAAATACACGCATATCAAGATATATGTATATAAATGAATCTATTCCCCTTTTTACCCGAGTGGGTTGGGTGGGTAATTAAAAGACTCCTAACCTTCAACAAAATTCGTAAAAAACGCACTTGGAAAGAATTATAAAAAAGACAAGATTATATATAAATGCTTCCCCCTTTTTTTGTAACGTTCTTTTGTCCATTAACTACGGTCAGACCTCTGTAAAGTCACACGCACGTGACCAGCCAAAAAGTGTGATGGTGTGGAGGTGTGACCTTATAGAGGTCAACTTGTGAATGCAGATGAGTAAAATTATTATTATGCATTTAAAAACATATGCATGCTTATTAATAAAAAAAAACCAAGGAAAATTTTTTTTGATATTGATTAAAAGCCTAGTCACATTGTATCAAGTGTAGTTTGCCTTGAGCTGTTAAAACCTTAGTATTTACTTAAAAATATTCATTGTCACCTTTTGTGAAAAAGATCTCCAAAGAAATCTTTAGATTTTTGAATGTTTTTGTAAATTGTTGTACGTGAAAATGAAATTATGTGAATTCGCAATTCACATATGTGAAATTCAAATTTACATATGTGAAATTCAAATTAGCCAATCAGAATTTCACTCCATAATATTTCAATTTCACATACAACATAATAAAAAGTAGGACTCAGTGTAACATATTGGATGAAACAAATTTCTACTATGGTAAAATTTCGACCAATCATAATAATTATATAAAAATGTGTATATAGACAGTGGAAATTTGAAATGTCACACTAATTTTTTATATTATGCAACATAACTTTACAATACACGGCAAACATTCTGGCAATAAAAAGTGATAAACTGGATTTGAATTGGATCTGTCTGAACTTGATCTCAAAATTTAGAGATAAACAACTATATTTACTGGTGAAGTTTCAGGAGCAATGGGTGCTGTATAACATTTCGTGTATATAGCAACAAACTTCCACTAGACAATTTAGATAATTTGATCACGCGACGTGACTCTAATTTCTATAAATAACTCGCGTATAATTTTTTTCACATGTTATTTTGCAAATCTTTTATATATATTCAAAAAATTTTCATCTTTATAAATAAATCAAATAAGAGAGAGGAGGGACATACACAATGTTAATAAAAATTTTAAATTCATTTGTTGTGGATATTTTAATATTTACCATTGGTTTTACAAGTATATGTTTAACTTGCTTACGACTTTTCAAAGAACTAATAATTACTAGGAAAAATATTAAGAAAATTAAA